TAGTTTGGTGTTAGCCTCATCGGATGATCATGCAATTAATCTTTTAAGTCATATGGCAGTCATGTTTCTTATGACCGCAATAAATGGATGGTACATTCATTTTAAAGGATCCTGTTTTTACCAGCTGAGGGATGGATCATTTTGCAATTTGACATTCAAGTCTGGTAAAAACATCAGCTAAATCTATCGTTTTTGTTAAATTTATTCCTTCTCTAATTCTCTATATCTAGAGGTTAAATGATGTAAAGGTATTTCAGTGTATTTACCGTAAAGTAAATATATGTATTTACGATCAAGGAAGGACAAAACGCGAACTAAGAAATGTTTATCTTTTTTACCATTAGTTTGAAATTTTCAGTATGACTTTTTCTTTATGAGATATATTACAATGTGATACAAGCTCGATCTGCCTAGATATGTGTCATTCATTTCTTTTTCAAGCTGCGTGAAGCCTCTAATTGATGAGACGAAAAGATCGGATGAATTTAATGGGCATCAATAATTTGACTTTTAATACAGCAAAAACATCGTTTATATTAATCAGTTTTGTTATATTTGTTTCTATTCTAATTTTTTACAGAATCTCTCTCATTCTCTCCTACAATCCTAGTAACATCTTGAAATGAACAAAGCAATGAAAGAAATAGCTGATTTTAACGCTAAGCCTGTGGTTCATCACCACTCCATAGTGACATCAGATATTCCTTCAACAACATCAAAATGATCAATGGCGAGGATGTTGTCACCTTACGATAAGCCACTCTTTGTTGACTAGAGGAATGACAACTGTTTGTATATTGGAAAATAAAACTGACCTACACTTTCATTTCTATAGTCAATAGAAACTACTTCTTCTTTATAAGCGGTACTAATAAATAAAGTAAAAGCAGTTATTCAAAAGCAATTTTACAGAGAAAATGGCAAAAAACCCTATTTCTCATTCTTTTCACACTTTCAGCTAGACATGAAGTTTTTTCTTTTTCCTGGAAGTTTTATTTGAAACAGCGTTTATAAGTCTATATCTATTAATCCTTTAGGCTTCGATATCTACAGCTTCTTGTTAACAATGCAAGCCATGACTTAGAAAGCTACAAAATACATGTATGCCACCTCATTCCCTTCCCTTCCCGTCAATTTACTCAGTGAAGACTATACTGAAATTCGATATCATTCAGCACATTAAATGTTAGGCCAAACGGACAGATATCTTAAAACCATTACTGGAAGAAGCTAAAGTTGCTTTCAGATCCGCACAGGTATGAATTTTTTTTAAGCCTCATTTTCAGTACCACCGGAGTGGTGTTCATAACTGCGAAGATCGCTTTCATATTCACACTGATTCATACAATGGTCACTGTGAGACTATTTTAAAATTTGAATGTTGCGTCATGCTACAGGAACCAGCTAAATGAGCTAATCGAATCGACTCAACCATATATCGCTCTACAGCAGTTAACACACTCTTTTTTTCTATCAATACTTGTCACCTGGGTAAAGTAGTCATTTTTCTTTTGAATACTTCTGCAAAAATTCTTGAAAGCCGTATCCTGTTGGCTGCTGACTCTTCCAGTGCACACCACAGCAAATAAAAGAGAGCAAAGCAAGCTTTAATTCGTCTAGATTGTTGTTGCTATAAAATACTCTATCGTGAACTTTGTTTTCTCGATGACAGACATGATTCTGGGCCCTATCACTTCTCTTGTCTCCCAGTAGAGCCATTGAAGGAATGGAAGCTAAGAAGAAGCGAAGCCATCCAGGAAGACTTAGAAACAGCAAAAAGAATTCTATCTCAAATCCAAAAGCACTTCGAGGAACTCGAAGCTGAAGTTCTCAGATCATGACTGACATCACCATAAATCGACATCACCACAAATCGACACACTCAGGTATCACAGATTTTGCCAAAGAATATCTATGGCTTGATACAATTTCATCTTTTAAGGATTCAAAATCCCTGGCCGATATAAGAAACATAAAAGACAGACAAATTATTAGATTGCCGTCCTATTATTATGGAAGTATTACATCAAACTATTTCTTGGCGATATTTCTATTTACACTATAACAAAATAAAAAAAAGACAACTTGAATTTGTTCAGCTCAATTACATGTGTCTTCTTATTCATCCTTTTCATCTTGGATATGAATGTTTAATGAATCGGCCCTTTAATCAAGTGTTATCAGGTTGTTCAATACATGACATAAACTTCTTGCATATATAGAGGATGTTTGTTATTTGCAGAACAGTATAAAAAGAATATTAGTGTGAATTACTGATTAAAATAACAGCAAAAATTTTCAAAAAAAGAAGGTTCAAAGAGCTAACCTTTGGGTGAATCCGTGCATGAAAGTAACAGCGAGTTAAAACAGTGAGTTAGGAAAATTTACAGTAAAAGCTGGGATAAGCTGTTAAGTATTGCAGACAAAACAATTTCTAAATAGAGAAGGAAGGTCGGATAGTCATTGTTTCATCATTTTTCATCTTCCAATTTTTTTAAATTTTATTTTTACCAATACAATCAGCTGTTCTGTCTTATTCAGGCAACCTGATATTATAAACCGAGGACACCTCAAGTTTTGACGGGGACATTGTCGCCGTGACAGATCAATTGGTTTAACCTGGAAACCTACTTTTCTTCTGTCCTTCATCGATTTTGGGCTTATCTCCATCTACAAGAGAACTAAAAAGAAGACTTTTCCACCGTTATAGGTCTCACCGTAACCGTCTTTCAGATATCAATTATTCACCTCATTTCTATGAATTAATGCGCTTCAGTGGCAGTTTCGCCACACAGACCATTTCTCTTCGCTTGTAACGACTATAGAATACCTGTAGCGTCTCTTTTTGAGTAACACGAGGTATTTCCAAGGTTTTTTGAAAACTAACTCTACACTATTTTTTGTCAATTTCTTAACTGTCAGTTTTCATTGTAATTGTTTGCGCAGCAAATATGCAGTTTTGCATTGCTTCCATTGGCAACTCGTCCAACAACCAAAACTACACAACCAGAACAGTGCCACCGACAAATTACCGAATAATAGAAGCGG